CGACTTCCGGTCAGTTCGACATCTCGGTTTACGACTATCTTCGTCATTTCTGCGTCACTTCTTGGTTGATCGCAGACCAGCAGCTGGTACCTGTTAGCTTCCGTCTTCGGCAGTTGCCTCCAAATCTGGCAGATCCTCACGGTGAGGTTGATGTCTCCCTTGTCTTTCTCCAGTCGTACCTCCAGCGGCGTAGCCCCATGATAGATCAGCAGGCTGGCGGAGGCACCGTACTTGTTACGCCTGGTGGCCGAGCGCAGAGCCGAGCGTGCCAAGGCGCCGGAGCTGTGTCCCAGGGAGGCCTTGGCGCTGTCATCCAGGTCCTCCATTTCAGTGGCTTTCGCCACCGCCGCCACTAGCTCCTGGATGACAAGAGCACCATCCTGCTGTCACTCCTGCTGTGATGGTGCCATTCGGGCGGAGGCGTCGGTCGGGCTGAAACGTGACCAGTGACCCGGAGTACCGCCTCATTCTCCAGGAACTGTCGGACACTCGACCAGTTGTAGTTGCCACCTGATAGCTGATATTGTCATTCGTGAAAAACGCATCGGTCTGGCCCTTCATAACCTGCTTCTGGTGTGAGTGGCGTGCGGATGCCATGGCGTTTCGCTGGCCGCTCGTGCACAGGGGGCATCGCGTAATCCACGCTGGTCAATACTGACAGGGCTGCGCCGCTCTTGAGCCGACGGCGCTGTCTCTGCATGCCGGTGCGAAATGACCGATCTTCTTCGAAATCTTCCTTTCTGAAATGCAGCTCACACACAGCGGAATAGTCCTGATCCCACTCAGCCCGGTCACGGTGACCCATGGCGCCAACCCACTGAGCCCGTAGAGATGTTTCGGTGAGAAAAGCGAATAGGTGGCATGTGAGACATCTCCTGTTCTAATCTTTTGTTCCTCTTGGTTCGTTGGGTTGTAGCCAGAACGGCAGGTTTTTACCACTCATTCCCCTCCTCCATTGTTGATGTACCTATACGTATGTAAGGCTTTGCACCACAATTTTTTCAAAAGAAAACACCACGCATTGTGCCCTCTAAATGATCAAATTAAAAGTGAAATACTTTAATTTTCAAGCAAATGAAAGTAATTTTGGTAGCTTCGATTTTAAACGTAAACGACAAAACGCAAAAAAGACGATTTCTTGCAATACACAACACACAAATTATCCACCCAGCAGCACGCGAGAATCTCATTTTGGCGCCGTCGCATAAAAACATTCGGCCTCTTACTGCAACTGCCAATATTCTGTTTCCAATCCAGTACTACTGTTATCTGTGCACTCATACATCACAAATATAGATATTCACAATCTAGGGTATCACTACACTGCAGGTGATAGCGTCGGCCTCCGCCCACGCCGCCTCGCACCTCTACCCACGCGAGGCGGCGCCCCCTGACCACCGACCCGTCACGCGGGCCACAGGCGGCCCGGCCACCCAACAAATGTTGGGCGCCCGGGCACAGGTTAGCCCGGATGGGGTAGGGCGGAGGCTCTTCGCCGCTCGGAGCGATGCCCAGACATCTGCATTCGCTTACGTATCGTTCAGTATGGGATTGGGGCCCAATGGTAGCATCTGTGTGCCATAAAATGTAACAATGGGCGCTTTCATCTGGCGCTCGCCGGCGCGGACACTATGGCGACCGTCTAAAAACGCCTGTCCGTTTCACGGCCACTATCACGCTGCTTGCCGCTAGCGTTAGCATTGACACCAAGTTGTAATGTTCGTGCATTAAAATATCAAGATATTTCTGTTACCATTTGGGCGGTCGATTGTTACCTGTTATTTTGGTGAAAACGTTCAAAAGAAAAATGTAACCAATGTACATATGTGTATAATCCATGTTGTCCATGACATATGTATTATGTGGTATGTCATATCTGCACAATTTGAGACAGGGAGACATAATTGAGCCTGTTATTGTACAGTTGGAGACAGCCAAGCCATTTTTTCAGCTCTGTACATATTTGCACATTACGTATTACGGCAAAAGCCTGTTAACCTCCCACAACTTGAAAAATGAAATAAAAGGCGGCAATGGAGTTTGAAAGCAATCGCTTCCATATGAAGTAATCCTCCGCTAGCCATTTTTCCTTCATAGGCTTACCCCGTGGCCGTTCCCTTTCTTCTAGAATCTAGAGTGACAAAATCTGTAATACGTTTATATAACTAAAGGGGAAATTTGGACAGATTTTTGGGGGGGACAAAAGACACTATATCCCACCCAACATTTTGGTTGGGTGGGACGTGTCCCCCCCGTCCCCCCCGGTGGCGGAGCCCTTGACCGTGGGCACTGGGCAGGTTGGTGCCACCGTTGCAAGCAGCGGCTCGTTTTGGAAAGTCGCCGCATGAGCATAGCCACGAGATTATAAGAAACGAACTTTGGTACTTAACTTTGAAAACAGAGTTTTTAGGATCTTGCACTTCAAAAAATACGCTCTCTGTTTTTTTATTAATGTATCGATTCTGCTCTCATTGAATTAATTCATTCATTGTCATTTAATCACATTATTTAATGTCGTCTCGTCTTTTCGTACTCACATCATGCACCATTTCCTTTTATTATTTCACTTAAATGGTTTTCAGTGATATAAATGTATATCGTCATTCACTGCTTCGCCTAACATTTTCGGCCTTGCGGTTTATCGTTTTACCGTAACACTTATATTTGTACTTGCATTTACGTATTTTCGTCAGCTGACAGTCCACAACAGGGTGGCTATTACACGTTAATAGTCAGTGAATAAAACGGTTGCAGGAAAGTCAATATGGTTACACAATACACAATACACAAGTAAACGGCAAAACACAACAATCAGTTACCGCAACAACACACACCACCAACAAACACACACATATATACTCCAAATAAAATAAACGTTTCGCCGCCTGTTAAAAAGGTGCACTAGCTCGAATCGTGTCATGCCAGTTGCCACACAGGCATTTCTTAGAAGCGAGGCTGCTCGGTATGCAAACCCTCGCTGCCCGGCCGCAGTGCTGTTCTTGTCGCTGGCAGGCGCAGGTTACGCTCCTGCCTGCTGGAGTGATTACACTGCCTTGAATGGAGGACACTAACATGCAGCGAGCTCCTCAGGCTCGCCCAGGGCACGCACTCTCCGTGCCGAAACTGCAGTCTGCACGTCACACTTTGGCGCAGTGTGTGCACGTCGAGGTCGCTCCGCACGAGACACATGGGCTTACCTGCAGGTATACCGGCTCTATGGTGACAATATTCATGACTTTCAATAGCCCTTAGCCGTAAGCCGCGGGGCCGATCCCGTACACAGACAGATCATCTCATGCGCGATACGACCGGGCCCGAGGGACTTTGTGTCAAAATTGTTGCACTGTACTGTGACTGTACAATTGCTTGTGATAGGGTGAGTTTAAAAGCGATGTTGTGCGATGCCAAATTTTCGCGATATCTGGGAAATAAAAGCCTGACAAAGTTGTAAAACGGCCCATCAACGCAACCGGACGGGTTCAGGGTCGCGAATCGCGCTTTTTCCGCAATCTTAAGTGTTAAAAGACCACAATTAGGTTACACCATAACTCATCTTCTGCGTCTAATCAGCTGCAATGGTGAGGGCGACTTGCGTCGTTCCAGCTACCGCGCGGCCGGTAATGAGCGTGATATAACGGACGATATCGCGGCCGGGAGATGGTGGACCCTTTGCCAGGAACACAATGGATGGCAGGGCCGGTGAGGCGCCGCTGTCGAGATCTAAGCGCCCGCGCCGCCCGCGGCCGGCAGTTCCAGGCCAGTATGTACGTCTCTACCAGGCGCGTCTGGGGCCGGTCAGAGCCCTGAGGCAGGAGCCCGCGGACGGTGTGACGTCAGTGCCCGCGGCGCCCAAGCAGGTTCACCAGTCTCATCAACTTGCAACTGCACATAGTAGCCAACTAATGGCACTAAAGCCAGGTCCCAGCAGAAATGGCCAGAGAGGAGCCTGATGAAACCAGCCGGTCGCACGAGGCGTCCAGGGTCGCCGGTGACTTGCATGCGCTACGATAGGCGTCATCACAAGTGTATTCGCGGCCATTGGGGCGACGTAAGAAAAGAAGAAAACAACTGGCCCCAAGAACTTTAAATTATCAGTTAGCATGCACCTTTTCCTTGATGTGTAGAGAATTTACCATTATTTGTTACAAAAAATTGCATTTAAAATCTTCCATTTATGCTTTTTTCATCGTTTGCACAATATGTTCTTTTACTAAGCTAGAAACACTAATTAGAAATAGTTCCCGCATCATCAAGAACAATAGGGAAGGCTTGAAGTGAATAAAATAATTTAAACGGTTTTGTAATCTATGTGAAGGCACTTCTAAAATTGCCTGTAGAAATATTGAAGGCAAAAGTTCAACCTTTTCACAAGACGGATGTCTATAAACCTATTTAACTTGTGACAACTCAGCCGGTATTTCGTCGCCTACAGCCCAGCTTTCCCTAGTGACCGATAGAGGCGCTGGTATCAATGTCCGCCCGTGTCGCCTAACGAAATCACCTGCTCACGCCGGTTACTATGCACTATTGCACCATGCAGCGTACGGTGACAGGCGTGCACGTTTCATTAGTTTTTCTACGTTTAAGCATCTGCGATTTATGCTTTAGGCTGCATGCTCATAGTGACATCTCGCCTAGCAGGAAGCAAAAAAAAAAAATGTTTCTCAGCGTAAACAACGAATATAGATGCAGAAAAAAGCAGGGGACAAGCACAATACAATGCAAATTCAAAATGGAGAGCGATCGCCATTGGCCACGCTTTAACACTTTTGCAGGCAACTGAACTTATCTGTTGCTCTAGGACACGTATTTAAGTAGGGCACGTAACAGCAAAGCCCCACCTATTCACGCCGGAGTTTGCAACAAAATGGATGTATGTCCTGTGATCTAGTCCTGAAACGTGCATATTCTAATAAAAACAGCGAAACAGCCCGGCCCAAGTCACGCATGAAAAAAAAGGAAACCGCCAACCTATGTAGCTGACTTTTCTCTGATTCCAGTGACCCGGGAGTCGGCACGTCGACTCAGAATGGTGCGTCGCGATGACGGTGAACAGAGCGTGTCGCTGCTGGGCGGCCGCCGGTCACCGAGGGAGTACAGCGAGCACCAGGTCCGTCCGTCCGTCCGTCTGTCCGTCCGTCCGTCCGTCCGTCTGTCCGTCCGTCCGTCCGTCTGTCCGTCCGTCCGTCCGTCCGTCCGTCTGTCCGTCCGTCCGTCCGTCTGTGCGTCCGTCCGTCCGTCCGTCTGTGCGCCTGTCCGTCCGTACGTCTGTCCGTCCGCCCGTCCGTCTGTCCGTCTGACGTCTGTCCGTCTGTCCATCTGTCCATCTGTCCGTCCATATTTGTTTCCTTGTTCGTCTGCTGATTATCTTAGCCATCCCCATTCCTTATTGCTTATTAGGATCAGTTAAAGGGACTATCCCACCTCCTAAAATGTTGTTAAAACCAGTTAAATTGTGCCCGACTTTATAGATTGGATGACCAGGAACACGGTTCTGGCATTTATTTTTCATTAAACATCTTAGGCTTCCCATATTCCAAACACAAACTTTCAAATATGTGACGTCACAGCCCAAAATTGCCTCCTTCCCCAGGCCACATTACTGTCATAAAGCTGATTCTTTTTACTCTGTAGGCACCACAACAAAGTTCAGACCAAGTTTTAAGCGATTTTTCAACGAACAAACCCATTTAAATCAAAATGACTAAACGAGGTGACGTCACACTAACGGTCGCTCCATGTTGAAGATAGGGCCTTGTACAAGGCCCATTTTCAAATGAAGGGAACGAATTTCTTCAACACCAAGAGGCCGCGGGGGTTGCAACCTAGATAGATAGTGGTTTCTGAACCTCGCCGCAAACTTGGCTATCTCAACTCAAACCCCATGTTAAAGGTGGGATAGTCCCTTTAAGGTTGCTTAGTCCACTCAATAAAAGAGATGTTGAAATCAGGACTGAACTACAATATAAAATTCACTTCTTTTAATCAGTCTCCTTCGATGATAAGAGTGCAGTTATAAAAAACATCGTAATTTGTGGCACAAAAAGGCTCGTTTGGCAGCGAGATCTGTGAACGCCTTCACACGCCTGTCGCGTGTCGGACCAGCGCGCTCTCGCTGTCCACTGTCCAGTGTCCACGTTCGTATCTATCTGAGCTGGTCGCTGTCTCCCTCTCCCTCGTTCCAAGCGATAGCCAGTAGTGGTTGGACTGATCAGTCTCGGCGAGCGGCCGTAGGTATTCTAACGAGCGCGCCGCGCGCCGGGTGATGGTCCCGGCGTGTCTGAGCGGCGACCCTCAGTGAACCCTCCCCCGACCTGATCTCGGCGGGCGTGTGACGAACGGGCGCCGCCGTCTGCCGCAGCGTCTGCTGGAGACGGAGCTGAGCCGCGAGTCGGCCGGCTACGGCGCCGTGAAGCCACTGTCGCCACTGCCCACCGGCGGCGTCACGCTCACATGGCACGATGTAAACGTCTACGTGCCCGACAAGAAGAACAGCAGCGTCTTCAGCAGCTGCCAGTCGGAGGCGCCCAAACTGAAACGGGTGCTCAACAATGGTGAGTACGGGCGTGCTCTGCCACACCTCTGCTTGAAAACGCTTCTGATATTCAACTTTGTGTGTACTGTCCATGAGATTAAAATCCTCTATCTACATGCCTACCTGTGATTCAGTTAGCTCTTGTAAATGTTGACTTAAGCCCGAACCTCATATCAACCTACTTTCTGTTCGCATTTATCCTCCGTGCAGTATATTGTTCTACGTTACCCCGGTCGTGACCTCCGCCCTGCTGTGTGCCTTGCGGCAGTGTACGGCGCCGTGCTGGCCGGTAACCTGGTGGCCGTCATGGGATCCAGGTGAGTCCGATAGCGAGCCGCGCACTGCGGTCTCGGCTGGCCCGGCCCGCGCCGGCTGGACGCCGGGCTGGGTGGGACCCCCGCCGGGGTGTGGGTCAGCTGTAGCCGGCGTGCGGTCCGGACTTCCCGCACACAGATCGAATATCGGTGGGGACGGGACACCTGATATCGGTCACGCGCTGCGCTTCCTTCCCGGCCCCGCCGGAGGGAGGGTCTGAACATCATGGCAAGGTTTATAGAGATAGTATATCAATGGAACAACCAGTTCGTGACAGGAGAAAGACGTTTAAAAAATGAATCCACGAGTCAAGTGCTGATTCCCACACGTCAAAGTAGGCTCCGTTCTGAGGCCCGATAATAAATAGTTTGATTGTGTTGAAATGTGATTGATTGATGGGCATACAGGCGATCAATTTCCATATGTCAAACTAGGGTATCACTGCACGTGCGCACGTGCATAACCTGTTAATATGTCAGCAACGGCTGGACTGCAATCACGCTAACGCGTGGCATGCCGTTAGGAACCGGTAAGGTGGGTGGTTTCAATCAGTTAATGAAGACTCAACACTACTGGCTCACACGTTGAAGCTCCACTTCTGCGTTTGTGCAAGCTATGGTGCAAGATACGTAGACCTCTATTTCGACGACTTTGAACTTACAGTTATCGGGCATACTCAGCGTTTTATGAAAGCAGGTTGTTGGGCAGATAAATTGATGAAAGGCTGCTGAAGGCTTTCGGAAAAAAAACATCGTGGGATAAAGGGCAATCGGTGACATCTACCCCGCAGCGTGCGAAGCTAATAAGAAGTGCATTTTTCCTTGCGTAGAAATACATCAGAAGATAATATTCAGCTGCTCAGAGCGCATAAGGAAGCAGGCTCTGCTGCTTCAATGTTTTTTATTGGGAGAAGTTTTTGGGAAGCATGCTCCCTGCAGCGTCCAATGTCACATTCTGGAACTCCCGTGAAACGAAGAAAAATTCACACAAAAAGAAGGCACAGGCTTGTAGTGAAATTGAGAAAATTAAATGAGTCGATCAGTAGAAAGGTAAACATAAGATAAGATTCAATGTCGTTTGACGTTGAGGTAACCAGAACCGTAGGTAATCATTCCTAAACAAATAAACAGATTCAAATTCAAAATGGCTTTTCTATCGACATTATAATTCACTGGCATCAAATTCATCATATTGAGGAGGAAAGTGCTGTTTTGCCGTTTTTCAGCGACCATCTCCTGACGGATATTACCGACAAGCACAACGGTCAGGCACGAGCGCCAGCCCGCCAATCACCCCTTCCCCATCAATTTAGAAATAGCAAGCATTTCTGCTGGACGCTTTTCAAATCACTAACCCGCTATCGAGCCACAATTAACCAGACTTATCAGCATATTGCTTTGGTTTGCGGTTATCATGCCAGGCCATGCACATGGAAGTAAATGGCCGTAAATCGTCAATCCCTTTTTGTTGACCATGCTCATCGTTGCATGCCGTGCCCCTGCCATCGGGCATAGTTGGAAACTCTGACTAATATTTGTACATGATCACCTGCGGTAGGCTTCCCTCTGATGGTAACTATGCCGCCAACTGTCAAGACGGCCGTAATAAATCAAATGCTTTGTTTTGCTGCAATGTCCGGGGGTCATTAAGTACACTAGTTGTTTGGACGTCAATACTGTTCTCTGAATACCAATTAATTCGTGACATGCTCAATTCATCAATCACATTTTATTTATATGCGTATTTATCTTATATTTTCGTACACTAGAGAACGTACCGATGCAACAGATATTCTACTTTTAGGCAGTCGGAAAAGGTAAAAGTCGCATATCTAGCAGTCCGTAAGCTCTGGAGAAGACCATTTATCATGAAAAATATCCTTGATGTGCAACTGTAATGCTGGTCAAAAGCTTTTGAACACCTGACCTCTACTCGATATGTCGAGGAAAAAAAGCAGAAGCATTCCAACATACACTGTCATAGCCATCACTATACGCTGGTCTTGTGAACATTAAAAAAGTGGTCTAAGGCACAACAATTATTTATACACATTGCACGGTGCACAAGCCCGCATTGTGCATACTGAAGTACCTACACGCTAAGAGCATCTCTCTCAAAGCTATCAAGAAAGCTAAGCTACCTCCTGTCTGTCTGTCTGCAATGACTGAAAACGCGTGCAAAGTGCTCCAAAGGCATCTCAGCTCCGTTCTTTCCAACGTTGGCGCCATAGGGCAATAGGACGTGGAAGAGAAGAATACCCAGCGGCCAGCGATGCGATAATTAAACAACGGAGCACAACGATCACGAGATGGCCGCACGAAACATCTTCCATCTTCACTGCATTATAATCTCATCAACCCGTAGTAGCGTCCGGTAGCGTGCAATGATGCAACGCAGCCGCCGGCAAAAATGACGGGAAATCCCCGACCACTCTGGCGGGCCTTTTCATTCATAATTGGTATAATATTAACTCAATGATTAAATCTATCAATTACATATACAGCCAAAATTTTGCTGTCGTGTCGATTTTTTTTGATATTTCCGATTTCGCATGTTGTGTACGAATTTCAATACCAATGGGATCTGTTTTCATTTTCTTTATGACTATGCGATACAGTTCTTACACAGGTACGCATTAAAAAAAAAATCCATCTCTCTCGTCTCATTGCGTTGAGTTATTAAACGTCATAATGATATTTAATGTGCCATAATGTCACTTACATAGTATAATTAAACTCAGTAATAATGTAATGTGCCGTATTGTCACTCATCATAGTGTGCAATTCAACTCAATAATAATGTTAGATTAACCCTCGCCGGGCCAGGGGGGTTGATGCACACCCCCTAAGGTTTTCGCAAATAGCGTAAAAACGGCGACGCGTAGCGCCACCAAATTTGGCATACTCCTTATGCGCGAGACAGTGCGAATACGTACTTGTTGTGTTCACCAGATGTTATTAAGCTGGTTTTCTTCTTGACACAGAACGTTGAAATAAAAGTCAGCGAAGTACTTTTATTGCGTTCCTTATGGGCAATTTTTCATCTTAAAACCTTTAACCCGGCAGTTGCTGGGGTATTTCGCCACCCACCGTTTGCTGGGGGGGGGGGCGTTAAACGCCCCCAGCCGATAACTCGAGAACCAATAGGCGCAGCGAAACGCACGAGGCGGCAAACGAAAGAACGCGACGAGACGCGTCAGATGAGTACTTTAAAGTTGAATTTTGAGGTCACAGGTCGGGTCAAGGTCAGGTCAAACACCTGAAATCGGGCTTCCAGTAGCATGGACTTCAGGACTTCGCAATGGGCGGCTCTCGTCATAAACTCTGTCAAAACGGTGCACAATCCATCATATAAGGCCTACAAGAGTGTCAGCTTCATGTAGGGGTCAGTCAAGCATAGGTCAGGGTCAAGGTCAGGTCAACCGGGTAGGCACATGTCCCCGAAAATCAAAACTGATATTCGCAGCCTGTGACACATGTTTTATGGGTAATTTGGGGCGTAGAACACGATGGTGAAATTCATTTTGTCATATGTGTACGTGTTTGGCTCAAAAAGTTCAATTTAAGAAATGCATGTATCATGGTCGTGAAGTAGTCACGAGAAATTGCCAAGATTCAGTTCAAGATTTTGGAAAATGCAGATCGATAATCAATAATCGAAGATAGCCATTTGATTGTTCATGGTATTGGCAGTCTAATGGCGTTTACGGCATGTCTGTATGTCTATTCTGTGATTTTATATGATTTTTGGAACATATGCCGTTTTTGGTCGAAAACTCAGAAATCATGACGTCACTAAAACCTCGATATCTCAAAAATTTTCTGACCGATTTTTTTGAAACTTTGTCACAATAGACTTCAATCAATTCCATACAGGTACCCAAAATTTGGCGCGCCTGCGGCGCGCCGTTTTTATGCTATGGCCCGGCGAAAAAAGTGGGGGCGTTTAACGCCCCCCCCCCCCCCCAGCAACTCGCGGGTTAAAGTGCCGTCAGCACTATGGCCTTTAAATGACGCTGGATTGCACCTGATTATGCCAGAGTAGTGAATTCAGCCGTAGGTACGGGCAATGAACATGCCGTCAGATTTAAAACGAGCCTCGGGCATGGCAAAACAGCTTCTGGAAATGGCTTACAGGATCTGTGGTAATGAATGTTCATAAATCCATCACTGGATATAGTATATAATACTGCACGTAATGAATGGTTTTGCACACTTAAGAAGGAGTACCTATTAAGGAAAACGAGGTATAGAAATGCCTAAAAGAACAGATCCGGTAATTCCTTCGTAATAGGCAATAATCTTGCAAAGATAATTGGCATTGTTGTCAACTTCCCTAAAAAATAGTAATTTCAATAAGTTTGCTTAATGATCATCCATTTTCACAAAAAGTGACTTGTTATTTGCTCCCCCACTCCTGTTTTCATAAAATGTAGCTGAAGTTACCTATTTCGTAGCTCGAAAAAAAATACAAACTTAAATGGCGTGCATTATTTCACACATATTTTGACCCAAAGAGATGCTAGAATAAACAAACCGAAAAAGCTATAGCCGCCAACTGAAGTCCCGATGCCACTCGCACTGGGACGGGGGACCGAGTGGTTGGAAGCAGTGACCGGCGAGCTGGGGACGAGTGGCCAACTGGCTGGGACGAGTGGCCGACTGGCTGGGACGAGGGACCGGCGAGCTGGGACGAGGGACGTACCCGGTGACCGGCCGGCCGGCTGGACCGTCAATACAAGGTCAGCGATATACATACGCCGTGGGACATCCAAGTAGCCCCGATAGGTAAACTTAGGGAAAAATAATGCGCTGCTCCGTTGCAACAACAAAAGCATGGAATGGCTGATAAATTTGCTCATCGTGAACTAAGCCCCCGCATGACCCGAAGCCGGATATCCGGATAGCATAAAAAGCGGAAATAAGCAATGTTTGGAATATGCCCGTAACGCATGCCCGTAGAATGATGTTAATTAAACATTCGATGCCAGGAGGGGGGAATCTAACCTTGTCTTCCCCTGCCGATTAATTCGCTTTTATGCTACACGTATACGTAAAACATTTTAATCATGTGGCGCCCATGACCCCGCGCCTCTGCTAATTGGCGATACTGTACAGAATACAGATATCCCCGACTGTCGAGGCATCGACCGACGGATCCAGAGTTAGGTATGCCCTCTGGCGAGCCCGGTTTGGAAAGGTGCCGAGGACACTGCTCTAAAAATAGACCTCATCACCGTCAATAGATGGAAATTCGTCACCTCGAACCAGATACCATAAATAGACTTTCAACCGTAATGACCGGCTGTAAAGTGCGTTATTGTGAATGAAATGCTATAAATGGCGTTCTCGATCCATGAAATTCTTTTGTGAAAAATATCTCCCCCTGAATTAGGTATGTGCGAGGAATAGCAAGTCCCAAATGGGACAAATAAATGCATTACGAGCGGCTTCTGGTTATCATTACCTAAATGTAAAACTCTTAGTATGCGCGTACGCGTACCTCTGTTCGCCGGTTTTAGATTGGGTATGGCTGAGGAGAGCCGCTCGCCGACGCGGGTCATCATTCGGTCCCCGCCGGGGTCAATGAATGCCGATCGGTGGGTCACGGCAGATCCTGCCGTGGCAGACCGGCAGACCTCACTGCAGGTCTGCCGGTCTGTAGACCCACGCCGTGGACCTTGCGGTACACCCCCGCCTCGGGTCGCTCGGTCGCATTGTTTGCCATCTGGGAGAGGCGCATGCCAGGGTATGTGTTCGACTGAGTTGTAAGGCAACAACTGTCACGGGTCTAGAACGTAAACAACACCGGCACTGGTGCGGGTGTCGGGCTGATTGTGGCTTGTTTGAGTTAAGAGGCACGCGTTCCGGCGACGTTGGTGCCCGTCGGGCTGTGTGGAGTCAGGTGGAAGCGCGCACTGTCACGGTAGGAATATTGCACCGCTCAAACTAGAGCGGCCAGCAAATGATTGGAGCGAAAGCAACTGTCATCGCTTCTGTAGTGATGCCAGTGGACCTCTGTTTTAATTGGTCCAGTCTGCCAATTTGGCCACTCTTTCATCGAATGAATGCATTGTTTTTGGAGGTGATGCGATGACACCCGATGTTTAAGAGTGTAGGTATAAGAACTTAGTTACACGGTATACACACGTAGACTAATTTCACTCAAGTTACTCTGACAGCTCTCGACAGTTTTCTATTAATTATGAATTCCAGGGCCACACGATCACTAGAGAAGCATTTTAAGATACTAAGGTTATCAGGCGGCATATACAGCTGATTACATTTATGGGGACATTAGGAAGCATTAATGAGGCGAGCGTTGCCCATACAAACAGTGAACGAGTGATAAAAAGTAGTCGGAACGTCAGCAGCATGTTCGTTATTGATGTCCTTTGGGATATCGTCTCAGAAGTGTAAACCGGATGGCAACGGGAGGTTCTTTACCATTGGTAACAAATGAGGTGCTTTAGCGTTAGTAACTAATTAATAATTAATTACCACTTAAACGAGCGTCTAGACACAATAACTTGCATCGCCATATTATCAGTACAAAGGTTATCGTGTAGACATGATTATGTAATATTTTACATTAATTGGTCAACTCTCCTTGGAGTTGGCAATGCACCAAGGTTCATCCAAGACGACAAGATACGAAATCAAACGTCGTGATTTGTTGGCACTGGCCTTTTCACTTAATCCTCGTAGGCTCTCCCAGCCATTGCACTGGTGTGTATCAAAAGCTACTTCCTACTTGCGACAATTAACCCTCGCCCTGCTGCGGGGTTAATTACCCCCCCCCCCCTGCTTTACTGCTTTTACACCCTCCTGTGGTATTTCGCAAATATCTATAAAAATGCACTCCACTGCATTTCGAAAAATGCCGCACTCCGTCGCCGGCATCTTTTTTTTTTTTGACAGGCCAGGGTCTTCGGTCCCTAGAGGGCCGCCCCACCGCCCTGGATCCGCGCCTGGCTTTCACTATATATCTATAGTTATAACTAATAACTATATGTAGACGTACAAAAATCAATCATTCCAAACACTAAGAAAATGATAAAACTCGTTTTGGTTGCATATGAGCATATGTTATTTACGAGTTTATCCAACCAAGCAATATTAATTATTAAACCTATTATTTTCAGGGTTTAACTGCCATAACTAGCATTGGATTGTTCACGTGTTTGACTGGTTAGGTCACGTGCGGAAGTCTGGTGGAGGTCCCATCCCATCCGTCTCGAACCAATCACTTTCATTCCAGATAGGATCAGTACCACACACCGTCTGACTCCCAGTATGTCAGACGCATTTAACATTCCCCGGCCTGACGCGTCATTAAACTTCGAGTTGTCTGATCGCGTTAGTGTCAGATCACACGAACACGCTTATTGTAAATTAGCTTAATCGTGATAGTCTATTTCTTAAGTTCATTATTTCTTTAAACATCCAAATCCTTTGATAACTGGGACAAATCACTCTTCATCTTATTTCTCTTCATGGTGACCGTAACGACAGGAGAAACATGACGTGCGAGAATTCTCATTTAAAACAATTTTCCGAAAAACGCCATGTTAATTTTGTGTTTTAAATATGAGGCTGCTGTGCATAAATCACGTGCAAACTGCTCGCAGACAAAACAAACGGTGACATTTTTGCAAAACGTCGCCGTCGTCGCCGCAGCAGCCATTGCAGCAAGGCCCATTGCAGCAGCCCAAGGCCCTATATAGAAGGTATGCTCATTAGGCCGAAGCAGCGATTTCCGTGACGTCACAGGTACGAAGGGTCGGACGGCTGTAATGCAATCCTATGGAAAATGACCCAACTTTAGGGCTCTCCCACATAGCTCACAGACTCGACACTAAGGTAAAAATTATATCACATAAAACCTCGAATCAAGACGAACAAGAAACCTATCTGACGTTTTTACGTATTACTAACGGCTTAGACTCTATTCAAGTATATTCAGAGCTCTGCATTACCTCACTTTTTCTGCCGTCAATGCCACTACAAATGTCTAGTCGGCGCACGTGCGCTTGTCGAGCGGGGACCACCAGTCGGGCGATTCAGAGCTGCCGCCCAATCAGAACGCCGCAATGCCGTGACGTCATTGGTCGCACACGACACGTTACGGAGATAGGGATGAGACAGCCCTGGCAGCAGCCTTAGCAGCAGCATTCACTTGGTTATAGATGAACACATGAGGTGAAAAATCGTAATAATGTGTATTATCTAAAGTTTCTGATATTGGAATTTCAACCCGATCAAGAAGACATCAGGACTTGCTGCTGAACGAAGAGTGTGTGAACGAGCAAGTGTGAATTAATGCAAGGAGCCGAACAAACGACGCATGTTTATAAATATATTTTCTGTCTGCAGTCGGGTTATTATTTATGATCATGTGCTCTTTCCTCTTCCCCAAAAATCTAGTCCAATTTTTTTTCTTTACCTCACAAATAACCCTCTTTACACACAAAACTATACAGAAATGGGCAGTTTTGCACATTCGTGATAATAAATTACGACTTAAAATTGTTTTAAATACACTTAACATCACTTTTCCGTCGTGCAAGAATATTTATGCACTCAACTTTGCAATTTAAGACCACTCGTGCTTAAATGATTATTTAAGCACTTGTTCATAAATGAACTCCCTACGGTCGTTCATTTATGAACATGTGCTTAAATAATCATTTAAGCACATGTGGTCTTAAATCGCAAAGTCTCGTGCATAAATATTCTTACACTCCGGAAAAGTGACGTTAACATATATTTTGAAGAGCATAGAAATATGACACCACACAAGATGTGGTGGGAGGCATGTCAGGGTAAGGGGTGAAGGAGCAAATAACGTACATAGTTGCCTGATATGAGACGAAAGAAGAACGGCAGAACGTATTTTCAGCTCAGCCTGCTAGGCTTCTGGCAAAATATTTGAAACGGCTAAGAAGCGTATTTGCCTGTTCACAATACCTCTGCACCTGTTCACATTACCATGTTCCCTGATAAATGTCCGTCCCAGAAAGGGGCGAAAGATCGGTTCCGGCACTCTCTCGACATTAGGCCTGCCCATGTCGACTTTACGGGCCTTACGCAAGTTGGCGGAGAGTGAGGTGGCCCGTGTTATATGTAGACGAGATTAGCGTTTGATGACGCACCACGTTCTGTCCTGTGTCCTCTAACCGCACCCGTGTTCCCTTTTCCCGGAGCAGCACCTGACCACCCCTCCTCCACCAGCGGCACCTATCGGCACCTACAGCACCTGACCACCCCTTCTCCCGCAGCGGGAGCGGCAAGTCCACGCTGATGACGACTCTGGCGCAGCGCAACCCCGGGGAGGTGATGGTGGACGCCGACATCCAGTACAACGGACAGCCGGCCACCAAGCAGATGCGCAGCATGGCCGGCTTCGTCTACCAGGACGACATGTTCGTCGGATCGCTCACCGTCCGAGAGCACCTCGAGTTCGCGGTACGGCGCCGCTCCGGCTCCAGCGCTGGGGTTGTTGTTGTTGTTGTTAGCAAGATATTTTCTTCTCCTTTTCATCCTTGCTCTCCTTTTTCATTCCTCTAATCTTTTTCCTTCTCCTTACTTCTTCTGTTTATGTTTTTACCTATCATTCTTTTTTTTCTCCCTTATTTATTCTCTCCTTTCTTCTCTTCTTTCTCCCTGTTCTTTCTTCTTATCTCCTCTCTCCTCCCTCGCTCTCCCTCATCCCCTCTCCTACATTTTGCCCCGTTATTCATATGACATCCTCCAGTTCAGGTGTCGCCCTGACAACGCCTGAAACACTATGCCGACAGGCGCGTCTCAAAATGGAGCGTCACACGACTGCCGCCGAGCGGCGCGCTCGCATCGACACCATCATGATCAACCTGGGCCTGAAGAAGTCGGAGCACACCCGAATCGGAGTTCCCGGCCAGAAAAAGAGCCTCTCCGGCGGCGAGCGCAAGAGGCTGGCCTTCGCCGCAGAGGTAAGCTTAGGGGCACCTCGGAGCGGAAGTATCTAATCTGGAATTCATACTCGCCTTCATACGTTTTACATGCAAAAAGTGTGTGATGAAGTTGTTGGTTCCAGCTCGTTGGTTCCTAACTATTACCGCCTGAGGTCTCAAGCGATCATGTTCCTCACCTAACAGACAGTCATATAGTTAGGTTGGGGTGCATTGCGTTGTTTCTCCTCATCCTTTCCTTCAGCATGCATGGCCTGTTTCAACTGCAATCACATTCGCACTGTTCCAGGCCTAAGCTCTCGGCAATAGCCGGTATTGGCCGGGAAGTGACAGGCACTCTCATTTCCGCGGGCACTCATTCCATTTCTCAGATCCTCACGGATCCGCCGCTGCTGTTCTGCGACGAGCCCACCACCGGTCTGGACTCGTACAACGCCGAGAGGATCGTCTCCATGCTCAAGGAGATGGCCTACCACGGCAAGACGATCCTGTGCACCATCCACCAGCCGAGCTCGGGACTGTTCGCCATGTTCGACCAGCTCATGTTCCTTTCCGAGGGCCGGCTGGCCTACATGGGCTCCGCCACCAACGCCGCAGAATTCTTCACCAGGTCAGTCAGTCGTGAGATCGGTGTTGTGGGTCCTGATTCCGATAAACCAGACTCTGATGTTGGCTATGATGTCGACGCTGATGGACGTTTAAAAAACTATTTTGGCATTTTCTTCGTCACTGAGAAATGTCTGGATATCATCATTGTTATCCCGATGTTATTCTCTATCACAAAAGCCGCCATCTGGTTTCATCAGTGCGAGTGTTCTTTCTTACATCATCAATACCTACTCCTGGGACATAAACAGTGACCTGGGGTCAAAGTACAACAAACACTAAGTTCGCGGCTCGTACCATTCAAACGTCATGGCTAACGAATGCCTGGAAATATTGTTGAAGTTCCCAGAACTTCACTGTATACAGTACAATCGTACGCTATGACGCCACAGTCCAGTGACTACCCAAACACAGCCACCGCTCTGACAGACCCTCCTCTGCTCGACAGCCTGAACCTGATTTGCCCGGCCACCTACAACGCGGCCGACTTCTACATCCACTGCTTGGCCGTGGCGCCCGGCAGAGAGGCGCAGAGTCGCGAGCGCATCAAGGCGATCTGCGACAACTTCAGCGTCTCTTCGCACGCCAAGGACATGGCCGTGACGGCCCAGTACCACGAGGCGGCCGCACTGGCGCACACTCAGGCCAGACGGGTACGTGGAACCGAGCAGGCCGCCTATTTCTTCGAAAACCCCGAAGAGGCTGGTCTGCAATGCTATGCAATTTTATGTGTGGTATGTGTTAGAATTGCAGACCGATAGTAGGACCGGCACAGGGCACTGCGCAGCACGTCTTTATATGGTGTGCTGATGAATTGTTTCATGGTAACATACTACCGACTATATCCACACATGCGAAGAAATCCACAGACCACAAATAGACATTAGGCCGGCCAAGGTTCAATGTTGTTGTTGACTTAATCTGCTGTTAGGAGCAGTCATATGTCCCGTAAGTAAAAGCAAACATTGAGTTCTAGCGATGCAATCCCACCACTAGAACAGGAAGCTAATCCCGCTTTGTTTTCCTTTTCAGTATGAGTGCCGAGAGCTCACCAGGAGTGCAGTGTAAGTAACAACTGAATGACTTACAAGTTACTAACAAATAGCTAAGTGAATCACATGAGGAGAAACAGATCAACGATGCTAATCTACTTTCGCCCCAGGCTGTTGAGATGCAATCTCTAAGGAACCTCGTGAAGTTCGCAACTATTTACTTGGTACAATAACGTTGAAAGCAATCCTACAAACCTCTCTCCTGGACTGATGTGCCTTTCCGGCGCAGAGCTCCCCCTATCCACCGACTCCGTCCCGTGGCGTGTACGACGACTGAGCCACTCGATGGTCGGCCCAAGGAGTTCGGCGAAGCGGCCGATTTGTGACACGCCACGGCGGCGCGCGGCGTGCCGCAGACGGCCTGCCCCGATTGCACGGGAAGTGGGCTAGGTCGGAGTCCGCCCTGAACTGTATGTATAACGCACGTCCCGGCGTCCGCGCCTGGGGTGACCAGCCGCACCTCCAGGCGCGCGCCGTACCGATATCGCCTGAGTGATGGAATGACCTTCTGAGCGTTGCATCGATAAATACTTATATAACAGTCTTGAACCCATGGTGGGTGGGAATGTTGAGTGGGATATGCTAGTCTCCTGATATCCCGAGGAAAACTAAAAGGAAGTAACCAAACGAAACCAGGCCTGTGTAATTAAACAGTTGATCACATTTAAAAGTCTATGCCATGATATATTTAATGACTAACCTACTTCACTGTGGCTGTAAGGCGACTTTCCGCTCACTTTTGATAAGCAATAAATATGTTTTGACTTTACCAAAATTGCATGCATAGTAACATTACACCCCGCACTGCTGCCCTTTCCGGTAAAGCTCCAAGTGAGCCGATGTCCTCGATTGTATGTTAATCCGCATGGGAGTGTGCACGGCAGGGCCCCAGACCCCTCCCTCTCCTGTCAACCGATACTGCAAGCGGCCGCTCGTCACTGCAGCTTACATAAGCGCTCCATGCGGCCAGGATAGTACTATACCGTGTTGACAATCGGTGTGGCTTATGTAAGACGTCTCAAACACCCGGCTACTATGTTTAGTACACCTTACAAACTCCGATTCTCCGAAGAAGGTGGTCGCAGTTACAGCTTTACGGTACGAAGTGTTGTTGACAAAATGCTGTTCCGAAATAGAAACTTGACTTTGGGACATGTCGTGTGTCGGTTGACGGTATGTCCGATGCTTGAAAAACCAGAATAAATATTTAAGAGACGATGCTAACTTTACGGCCAACTGATTTGTAGCATACTGAAATGGGACATACAGGGTGAATACACAATACACAATACACATGCTATGAATGCATATTTTTTGTACTGTAAATAGATCTTTAATTAGCCGTGTTTGTTACGTTTCGGTACTGTAGCCTTTCTGGGAGCCATCGGCATATTCCCTACAAACTTACTTAGAGAAGTTTTGAGGTGCAACGCTGAAATTATATTGTGTAGCTATGCAACAAGCATTAAACACTTAACATTATCTATGCGATGTAATTCATTTGAGCGTGGTTCGACAAGCTCCACCGTTTTGACAAGATAGGGAACTGTAGTTGCTCTTTTCTTTCTCCCTCTCGCATCTCTCCCTCTCCTCTCTCTCTCTCTCTCTCTCTCTCTCTCTCTCTCTCTCTCTCTCTCTCCCTCTCTCTCTCTCTCTCCTCTCTCTCTTCTCCTCTCTCTCTCTCTCCTCTCTCGCTCTCTCTCGCTCTCTCTCTCTC